CTGCAACCACGTCTTGTATGAGGGAAGCGTATCACGTCGGCGGTCGGGACAAGTGAACAGTGTCCGAATGCCGCGGTGTTGCATATCCTCCAGCTGGGAAGTCAAGCGGACTCGACTTGGGTGCCGTACATATGCGCAGTGCTCCGGCTTCGGTAGAATCAGTGCAGTGTAAAGCAAGTCTTGGAAAGTCAAAGAATTTCGACAACCGTGTCATAAAGCCCAAAGTGCACCGAGCTTTAGCTACTGTTTGAAATATGGAGAGATAAGCCGGGTGCTGGTGCAAATGTTACAAGCGTTACTGCAGTGATTGACACGCATTGCACCTTCCGTAAGGGAGATCCTGAGATAGTGTACAGGGGAATATACTGGTAGTCTTGGTGCTGTGGAAACGCATCACTCTGCACGTATCATCACTCATGATCATGCAGTTTGCATGCGCCCACCCTGAAAAGCAAGTGATGTAGCCGTGAACGTAGACAGAGCAGTCAGGAGAAGTGATGCGGGCGACAATGGACCTGTCCGCTGCATACTGTTCAAGAAGGGTGTTACTGTTTTGCGGCATGTCGTTAACATAGAACAAGGAAAAAGTTGGGCCAAGTACGGAGCCTTGTCAAACTCTAGAAGGAGCTGGATAGCTTTGGGACATTCACCCATGGTAGCACGCGTCGTGTATAGACGCTTTCAGGCAGCTGTGCATGGGCGCCGCCATAACCGACCTTCAGTTTTTGTTGCCTCTTATTTCGTTCGCTCCACTTCATCATTACCACAGCAGGACAGGTTATTGCCATTTTAAGTGTTACTGTGTCCCTCTCCCCAGCATAGGCCCTGTGGAGACTCGTCAACGCCCGCTTCAGTGGCTCGGCATCTCGATAAGACAAGAAAAGGTCGGCTATGGAGGCTCAATCTGGCGCGCGCTGAAAGCGCCTATAACCCACCATAAAGCGAGTCAACCAAAGAAGTAGTGAAGCTCGGACACCAGTCTAAGCGGCTTTCCTGATCAGGATGGCGTGATCGAACATATCAAGCACATTACTGTGATTCAGTTGAATGAAGTCAGCAGGGATGCGACCGTCGATACTGCTAAAAGTTGAGAAAGTATGTTTAATAAAATAGAAAACAATTAAAAGAAGGCTAATGCATAGTATATTACGGGACCCGTCCAACACCACGAGACACACATTTTCAATCGGTCTCGTTCTGGCTTCACGTGCTCTTCTTAAAACACCACGATGGTGATTTTTGGCTCTCTGTATAAGCCACACGACAACCCACGGCGAAATATGACTTGCTGGCTGTCCTCAGGCAGTTAGACTTAGTCACGTTGTCTTCGAAACGTTTTGGTTTCGAAGACAACGTCTTCGAAACCAAAACTTTCTTTGATTTTCTTCTTGCTTTCGTTCTAACTGGGATTTTTTTTCTTCTGCTTCTTCTTAACTAGGATCATTGAACTGCTGTACTCCCACTCGCTTCAGCGCCCACCCAGACGCGTTCTATCTTTAGGTGCCGACGGGGAGGGGGGGGGGGGGGGTTGTTTTATCGACTATTACAAATAATTACCTTGTTTAAGCCTACATTCTGCTTGAAAATGTATGCCTTCAAACATTTAGATAATTCTTATCAACAGACTTGCGTGCGAGAGCAGTAACTTATTTGCAATATTATTTCTTCTTGGGCAGTCATTGCGGAAATAAGTGCCTTATGTCCGCACGGTATATACGTCTGGGGCAGCGAACGGCGTTAGCGATGAGGGGTTCTGTTTTGCGTTATGTATGTGTGCGTTTTCACATTGTTATGTATGTGACCGTGTTGTTGAGTGCGTTTGTGCGTTATGTGTATCTGCGATGTCTCTTTCAGCGCGAATCGAAGGGGAGTGTGAAAGTGCAAGTTGCGTGTGTTGTAACACCACTGGAATAAGATTTTTTTTTTCTTACAAATATTGAATTGGACGGTACCAGAGTCACCTTTTCCTTAAACGCTGTATTAATATGTCTATAACCAGCGTATGTAGAGTTTGCTTGCTCGCGCTATGGTGCCTGGATCGCGTCTTTGACTGGTGTGTTTAGCATTCTATCCCGCCCATTCGTCAGAAGTGGTCCCGAAGTGGCAACAAATGACGTCAAAGATGCCCGAGTGTCATGCTGTATCCGGCCGCGATCCTGGCGGTTGGCCGCAGAAATGCTGGCGAAAAGCACGAGCGAACGAGAGTGTCGCTGTCGTCACGGCGTCCCAGGCGTCCCAACTTTCAGCTGCTGTAGCTTCTGTTGACTGTCACAGTGGAGAGCGACCTGCAGCAGAACAGGCGTCTGCCGTATATACCTCAACTGTTAGGACGCCGCTAGGATCGCGACCGGCGGGCAGCATGACACTTGTATGACGTCCTCAGGCGCAAATCGAGGGACCACTTTTTTGGCCGCGGTGAACACACCAGTCGGAGACGCGTTCCAGGCACCATACTCGCTCTATCTGGACGTGAACGGTGCAACTGCCTTCGTATTTTCTTTCGGATGAGGTTCGCATCATCCGGCAGCATACTTCTGGTGAGTTATAGAGGATCTTTCGACGCACTGTATCGGTTGCGTGAAACTACGTATCGGTCCTAGAGCTCCGTATTCGCTATGTACGATTTGCGACGGAGGAATTGCCATATATGAACGAGCACGGGTAATTGATGCGAAATTCACTTACCACTGTGGCTCGATCCGTTTCGGCAAATGTGTGCACGACGCGGAAATGAATTCAGGGAGGAGATTTCCTCCCCTGTACGGGCAGATGGATTTGCCACGACGTGCAAACCTCGATTTCCGTGGTCATTGGGTGCTCACTGTGCCCTGAAACTGTCGGCTCGATTCGGGTGGGCTTGGTCGCTGCTAGGCAGTCAACGCGGTGCTTTTCTGTCCAGTGTTGTCGAGCAAGTAGTGGCAGACCGCCACTGAGCGGGAGGTTTTTGTCTGTCTTGTGTCTATCGGAACTTTTTTCGTTGCGGTGGAACTGGTGGAACGTTGAAGGCGTGCCGGAAGGTCCTATAATAGACGATCAATTAGGAGCCGTCAATTTTTGAAATACGTCTCTGAATCGACGAAGGACGAACTTTCCTCTCTTGTTGAAGGGGGCAAGGCTACTCCATTTCTGAAGGAACATTTGTGTCAGACTCGTTCTTCCATTTACGGAGGACTCTGCTGGCCCTTTTTCCTAAGAGCGTAAAAGGGGGCGGGAAACGGGGGGGGGGGGGGGGGGGCTGCAGCAGGGCGGGGCGAGACCTGCGTCATCTGCTCCATTTATAATTGAAGGAGCACGACAGTGGCCATTCTTAGTTATCCAAGATCCCCCTCTTATGAAACGTCTGCCGGGACAAATGCCGCCAGATTATTGTCTCGTTCTTGGTTCACTCTAAAAAAAAGGCTATCACCTTACACCCTTTTGTCCCATATAATGCACCCCCAAACTTCAGTTCGGCGTACAGCGCCCCATCGACGAAGAGCCGGCCCCTAATTTTAAGAGGGGCTTGATAACGGTGCGATATAACTTATTAAATGGCTAAAGTACGTATCAAAGACGACAGAAAGAAAACACAGGTTTTGCAGTGGGGCCAAGAAAACCTTGATTATTTTGTTTTTGTAGTCAGTAAAACGTACATTAGCTATTTAAATAAGTGGCACCACACAGCTATAAAGCCTCTCGTGCAAGTTTGTACCGTCAGATCGGCATCAGTTTGCTGTACGTCGAACTGAAGTCTTGAGGTGTGTTATATTGGACAAAGGGTGTAGGAATACACCCTTTTTTAGAGTCCATACTGAAGGAACGCGTCTCCGCTAGTTCGCCGAGTGGCCTAAGAATCTAGTCGCTCACGCTTTCGTCGGCGTCCTCCGTAGATTACATCTTTTATTAGTGGGAGGCTCTGAAGTTCACATGAGCTTAGGCTGGGGTGATGAGGCTTCATCTGTGCCCGTCGCTTATCGAAAACTCGGCAAGTTCTTCATGAGGGCTGCCGGATTTATGACAGTTACTTCTCCTTCGCTGTCTCCACCAAAGGGGTCGATACTAACTTTTTCGGGGAAAGAGACGTCACGGAAAGTCACCTGACGTCATGTGGCCTATTTGGGAGAAGAGCGAGTTGGTTCAAGTCACGGGTGAAAAAAAAAATAAAACAATTAAAACTGGGACAACACAACCACATCTTTCATGAGAGATGTGAAAGATGTGGTCGTGTTGTCCCAGTTATTACTGTTTCATTCTTTCTTCGTCCATGACCTATACAGCTTGGGGAAATTGACGGCACGTGAACTATACGTCAAATCAGTTTTAACGCTAAATTTAGCGGATTCAGGTTCCACACTAAATTTGGCGGTAAAATTGACGTCACTTGACCCATGCACCTATTCAGGTTTCTCGCTAAATTTAGCGGAATCGAGTTGTCCACTATAAGTCACGGAAAATTTACGTCCGTGACCTGTGCACCCAGTTCGGGTTCCCTCCAAATTTAGGGGAAAACTTCACGCGACGGGACTTATACAACAATTCAGTTTTCCGCTAAATTTAGCGCAAAAATTTACGTCGCATGACCTCTGCACCAATTCAGTGTCCCCGCAAACTTTGGTGTAAAAAGTGATGTCACGTGATCTTACATCACGGGACCTCCAGACGAATCCAGGTTTCCCGCTAAGTTTAGCCAAAAAATTAACGTCACGTGTCCAATGAACTAATGAAGTTTCCCCGCTAAAATTGGCGGGAAAAGTTACCTCACGATAACTTTTAGGTGCCTCCTTCGCTGAAAAATATATGGGCTCCAGTTTTTGTACTTCGAGACCGAATGCCTTTCCACGTGGGCAACGATAAATGCTGTCGCATTCAGTGATAATCACCCCTCTGGTTTCTACAATTTATTTTCTTGTTTATTTACATTTAGATACCATAATCTGAAGTAACTGCAATCAACTCAATTTTTCATTTAAATTTTAGTGCACACAATATGGATTAATTGAACGAAAACTCTTGTTCATCAGCTATTTTCAGAACGCAAGAAGTTTTATGTGGCTGGAGGTACATTCGAGGAAGACCCCCTTTTGATAAAGAACTCCGGATTACCATTCAAGTGTGGAGAAGTACAAACTAGAAAAAATTCCCAAGAGATATTTTCCCTGGAGCGGAACATTTATTACGAGAGACTTCCAAAAAAATGGTATGTACTTAAGGTTTATGTAACTAAAAATATCTTCGAAGCTTGTAGAATAACTTCTGCTGCTATCCGCCTCGGAGAAGGACAAAGCGGACTGGTTCAAAAACACGTATCCATTTTATTAATGCGTTAACATTAGTACCTACATGACAGCTAAAAGCTGATGATGTCGGTCTGCAGACAAAACAGTGGAAAGGGAAGCGAGCCGCGTAGAGAGAAGAGTGACGAAGGACAAAGGCGAGAGGGAGGCGACGTCACGGGGCGGGAGCCAATGCGCGCGCGGGAAGCCGGTGAATGGCGAAAGCAGCGTCAGCCAGCGGATGCCGCTGTTAAGCCTGCAAGGCGGACGAACGAGACAGAAAAGCAGAAGTAGCGTCTAGCTCGGCTGGCCAAAATGCGGCGCAAGAAGCGTCAACCTCACGCGGGTTGCGCGCGACAGAGGCTGGGATGAAGTGGAATCAGCGAGCCCACTTCGCCGGGAAAATAAAATAGAGGAAGAGCCATGCGTGGATCCTTAGAGAATGCGTTAGCACGACACTTGGGAAAGCCCACATGCGTCCTCTTTTGCTAAACGCTAACACTGACGGTCATGCTAAAGTATTCCCTATAGGCACACTCGACTATCTGACCTCACGCCACAGCGGTAGCGCTGCTGTGGGCACTGCGCATGCGCAGATGCTTCATCCCGGGCGAATTTGGTTTCTGCGCACATGCAGTGCCCACACTCTAAGTGGGAAAACACGGGCTTGTTTGTAAACAGTGTGTAGGTCGATTGACTGTTATCGCCCGCGCCGCGACACAGATAAGCCTCGCGCATACTTCTGCGCAGGTCTTTATCAACGGCCGAGCTGCGCTCGCATGACCGATTACGCGTGGCCTCCTCAGGGTAGAGATCACGAGAGATGATTTTAGAGGGGGGCAACATGGTCGAATGCTGTGGATTGCCAGGTTGCCGACACGCTTCTTTTATTAAAACAATTAAAGAAAAGGTATGTACATAATTGAATGGACTGCTTCCATAAAGCCCCTGCATGCAACGCGGCGCGCGTCGCACTCTGGGAACTAGTTGGCCAGGGAGGAGAGTGGCATGGTTTCGGTTTCGTTCGACACGTCGACAAGAGGTGACACACAGAACGTGGACTATTAACGGCCGTTATCTCATGCTTCCTGATGCCGAGAGCGTCATTTGTGGTCTCCAAACTAACCTAAATGGCCAGACCTTGAAGCTTTAGCACAACCAATAAGTATGCATACGTCGAGCTCGAGCCTTTACATTAGTATTGTTGATCAGTTTGTTTTGTGCGTCCATAGACGAAATATAACTTTTTGCGATCACTGTTTTTCTTAATACGCCTGAGCACGCGAGATAAAACTCGAGGCACCATTGAAAGTCTCCATTTGAACACACTTATCATCTCTTACCTGCACTGCCCCACAGCACTGCACGAAGTGAAGTTTCCACCCGCTTGCATTCCACTAATATTCAACATCGCGTATGCGCATAAAGTTATCCTGCAACCATATAGGCACATTTGCACGTACAAACCGTTTTAAGAAAGCAAAAGTCGAGCACTTGTGTGAAGAATGTCGCACCGTTCACCGGAAGGGCTCCGGACGGGCATGAACCCCTATGCGGTGCGCCAAGCGAACGAAATCATTCAAAGCGCGTTTGTCATTTGCTAATGGCTGTAATATTTGTTATGTGTTTGCTTTCTTCCTGACTGAGTATGCCGAGATAATTTCAGACACACCGTTCAGACACAAATCTTGGGCGTCAGGAAAAGCTTTAAAAAGGCTTACCGAGGAGTAGGGGACGCTTGCTAGGGCCTCCGTCGTAGGTAGCCGATCTCAGCGTTTGCGAAAACTTAATCTTCTATCGGCATAAAATTTGAGTGTGAGATATGTGATGACACGAGGAAGACATCATAGTAACTTTTGTGCAGTAGTGAGGTCGATTTTATTGCGTTTCCTTAAAAGTTCATGCGCCAACGCTGCGCTCAACCTTGACAATCTTATGAAGATGCGGCTTGCTTTTCACCCAATGAAGTAACAAGAAGCGGACGTTTAGCAAAAAAAAAAAAAAAATACGTGTAGGGCTCAGGGTGACCAAATTTCAGATATAGTTCACTAGTACTAGACGAGATTTGAACTGAAATATGCACTCGTGGGGTGCGGTGACTAAGCCACGTCTTATTACGTTTGCATACGCACGCACAATATCTGGTGTTTTGGGAACCAAGGAAAGTGCCCCGGTCTTCGTTTTGTATCGCTCGAGAATGAGTGTATTGTACATTCGTGAAAAGTCAGATAATCGAAAACGCAATCAGCGCGTTCGGTCACGGCGTGATAGCATGAGATGAACCTGCTCACTCAAAATCGAAACTGAGTGGCCAACTAGTTCCCAGAGTGCATTGCGTGGTATTTCGCCGCGATGGGGCGCGTCGGTTTTGGAAGAAGTCTATTATTGTTCGGTATGTTTCGGTTTTTTTTTTTTTTCAGACGATACATTTTGTCTGCAGCATAAAGGCAAAATATCAGACTATCTTACGAAGCACCGATGGCGCTATAAAGCAATAGTAAAACGATTCACCACTGTTGGCAGCATGAGAAACACGTGAAGAAAAAAAATCATTTAAATGAAGTACACGACACGTATCCCGAAACCAACTTTTTCAAACTAGAACATCGTGAAAGTACACTCTAAGAAAAAAGGGAGGAAAAAAGTAGCAACGGCGCGCCTTCCTCCCTTCTACCGACGCGCCTCCAAGCGGACACGAGAAAAGGGGAGGAACGAAATGTTTTTCTCCTTCTCCAGGCAGACGGGAGAAAGCTTTCGCCCTCCCGACTCATCGTCTTTCGGTTTCGTTTTTCGAGCAGGTCGCGCACGTTGTTTAATAAATAGCTGTTGAGTCGATTGAGCTTCAGCAGCAGCGAAGGCCGCCTGTAATTCCGTCTTCTAGTTTAAACGTCCAGAACATTTCGGTTGCATTGACATTTTTATCACTAATTTTATCAAACGAGCAAACGAAGCCGCTAGAAACAGCGAAGTCCCGGAGCAGTGCCAGCAGCGCCACGTACACTGGGGGATGGCCGTCTCCGGATTGCGCTGGGATTGCGTGACTCGCGCGGCACGGAACTACAGCCACTGCAGGCTGCAGCACTACAGACTACAGTAGCGAAAGCACGCGGAACTGTGTCGACGTTTTCGACGTTATGGAAACCGCAGGAACTGCGTCCAAGACAGGCAGGTTTTGCTGCCGGCTGCCTGGGTGCCTTCCCCCCTGAGTTTGGTTCTGTTTTCCGATGCCGAGTGCAACCGGCGTTCAACGTGGTTTTGTGTTTGTGCGTGTCAGCAACATAGCTGCAACATCGTGATGGCAGTGTTGTGGGTTGTGAACAGAAGACTGGAATTATCGCCGATGTGACCATGTGTTCGCGTATCAGTGGTGTAACAAGAAGATAAGATCGTAAACTGTTGGGCATTGATGCCGCTGGTCGGGTTGTGATCGGAGGGGGCGGGGTGTCGCAGGTTGACATTCCGCTTTACATTAAAAAGTTTAATACCACTTGAGGGATTACGTGCAATCGATCAACGTGCGGATAGTCATGGTCTGAACAGTAGAAGCTCCTATCGTACAGTGGCCAATGTGACTGTCGGAATTGTCTCGTCCCCGACAGCGATTGTGCTCAAGGGCAAGGACTGAACAGTACGAAATCGTGACGTAAAGTACGTATATTTACAGTATGGAATTTCGGCATTAAAAACAATAGTAGGTAAAATCGAAAAAAAAGCTACCCTTTATTTTGCTGTTTAATTATACGGTTGCTGGAGAAACTGCCCTCCGTGGTGCGCTGGGATGAGCGCTAGAAGTTTTCGGGCTCGCCACGGCGTAGTTCCGTACACTTGAACCTGCCGCAAGTCGCGGCTTTGACTACATTCAAGTTGATCGAAAAGCAATTTCTCAGTCCGTGAAGCATCACTTCCAGCTACTGAATATCCGCTCTACAGAGATTAATTCAAACGGCAATTGCAGCTCTGCGCGAACAGCACAAATAGAAAAACAAATAGAAATACAAGCTACGACGTGCCGTGTGGGGAAACAAACTCGTGGCTTCGAACCGCATTGGAGCGGCTTGATTTATTGGCTTTCAAATAATTACGGCATGATTGAGCGTTTACTTTTTAATAAGAGATTCGACCCCTGAGCCATTCAAAATACTCTCAGAGGTATGACATTGCAGGGAAAAATTCAACATGCTGGGAATATTTTTTATTGCTTAGGGAGTCACCGATAAGTTCCGCACGTTCAAAACGACCAGTATAAAAGACGGAAACGCAGAGCACGGGTGTAGTGTTCGGGTTAGTGTGGTGTTCCGTTGTATTGATATTTGTGTGAGCAGTGCATGTGCTTAATGTATGTTCACCTGATGTTGTAATAATGTGTATGGGTTGCATGTGTGTATAGTAGAGGGTCCTCAGGCGCAGTAGTGGCCTGAAAGAAGCAAATTATTTTTTGTAGAACATGAATTGGGCGGTACCTAGCGCCACCTAGCCTAGCTACTTGCAATTACTCTGCTTGACCCCGCCATCTGGTGGCTAGCGATTTAACCTTCTTTCACGCTACGCGATAAACAGCGGCTTTGAGTTCGTTCTTTCGAGAGCGGCTTTTAGTTTCGCGGAGTGAGTTTGCCCTTCTCCGTGATGTGCGGTTGACGAAGGAATTGTGATTCGAGGAACACCAAAGGTAAGACGCAAAGTGCGCGAAGTAACTGGGTATCGGTTGTCTCCGTTTAACATCGCAGTGCTGTTGACGAGAAGACTGAGTAACTGCTTTCGAAACGCAGGTTTCTGTACCTGTGGGGGGAATCTGGCTTCGGAAGTAAACACAGTTTGCGGAAAGCTCGTGTTACGCTTTCATTTGCTGCTGCTCTCGTCCCGTACAAGAGACGTAGCGTCCTCGTTAAGCCTTATTGGGCTCGATTTGCTTGATTCGGGGCCGCCA